CCTAGATCTCAAGTCTGCCTTTGATATTGCAAATAGACATGTTACCTTGAGTGAGCTTGCAAGAATGAATATTGGTGGTCGGCTTCTTTCTTGGATCAGGGGTTACTTATCCAACAGGAAGTCATCTGTATTTTTCCAGGGGCATAGGAGTGTAACAAGAGACTTTGAATTAGATACCCCGCAGGGAGGTGTCCTCAGTCCTACCTTATTTAATATCTTAATAAACACGCTGTTAAACTCTATATACCGAGCAAACCCAACGTCCACATGATTAGCTATGCTGATGATATAATGATAAACACCACTGGGTATGTTAACTCTTAACTCTGCATTAGACTCATGTCAGGACCTAGATTTATTTATCTCAGCAGAGAAAACAAAGATACTAAATCGGCGCCCACCCAGGCAGGGAGGAGCTGTTAGCAAGATGCAACTGTCTGATGGCTTCCAGCTTGATTATGTAAACAGATTCAAATACCTTGACCTTGAGGTGCCACTGTATGGTCCTGTTGTATTCATACTCTGTCGTCAGTATAAAGTGGCTTACTAGTGGCTTTACAAGGTTGTAATTACCATATTATGTATCCTCACATTCCCAATGTACCTTCTTGTATATGCATAAATAAATAAATAAATAAATAAATAAATAAATAAATAAATAAATAAAAAAATAAAAAAATAAAAAAATAAAGAGAGGCTCCAAGCTCTCAAGGCTGTTGCAGGGTATCAATCAGGCTATGGTGCCAATGTGAGAATTGTCAAAAAGATGTACCTTGCATACATCAGATCTTTAGTGGACTATACTGCACCTCTGCTTGTTTTGATGCCTGAAAAAAGTTTGGAGGGCTTGACAAATTGCAGAACCAAAGAACCAAGCCTTGAGGATAATCCTTGGGTGCCCTCGTACCACAAAGATACTTAATATGAGAAAGGAACTTAATTTTCTGCGGTTGGAAGAAAACGCGCACAGAGTGGGGGTTTATTTTATTAATACTAAATAATTTATAATAATAAAAAATAATTAATTATAATAATGAGCATTAATTGTGACGAAGCATAATAGCTAATTATGGCCACTAAAATAGATAGTTAAGTGGATAATAGTTAATTATGTGGCTAATAAAGATTAGTGAATAACAATGAATTATTATCCTGAAATAATATTAGAGAATAGCCATTATAATGATCGTGTATAACTCAATTACAATTAATCGTTACATCTATAATTAGTAGCTGAAAGTTGCATTATTTGCATTTACACTAATGACAATTCTTGTTAATATGTCTTGGCTTTGGGGGTTCTGGCGGAGCACCCCCGAAGGTAACACAAATGCGTAGCAAGATAGAACAAAAGTGTCGTCTGAGCCTGTCTGAGTGTCATCACGTGAAAAAGAAAACAGGGGATGCAGAGAATCCCGGAAGGAGGGTGGGCGTTTTTGTATGTGGAGCAGCTGCAGAGGGCGGCAGAGGGCGGCAGACAGAGGTCGCCGGGTCCGCAGCAGCTCAATATAAGTATCCCCGCTCGGTGTGCGTGCAGCTTAGACGCAACTCCCAGAATTACGTTTTTTTTTCCCCACAGGAAACCCACTGCTTTTCAGGAAAATCAGTGGCTATTTTCTGCGGCTGGAAGAAAACGTGCACAGAGTGGGGGTTTATTTTATTAATACTAAATAATTTATTATAATAATAAATAATTAATTATAATAACGAACATTAATTATGACGAAGCATAATAGCTAATTATGGCGACTAAAATAGATAGTTAAGAGGATAATAATTAATTATGTGGCTAATAAAGATTAGTGAATAACAATGAATTATTATCCTGAAATAATATTAGGGAATAGCCATACTGAACCCTCCAAGTCTTCTTCCTTGAGGATCAGCCTCCCTCCAAATGGATTGCCGTAACTGCCAATGTGCTCAGAATGTATAACTTTCATCACCCCTACCAAGAGAGACAACAACAACACTTTCCTGCCCCATGGGAGATCACTCCTTTCCAAACTATTGTCCCCCCTTTCCCACCCAAGAAGCTGATTAAAGAACAAGCCTTGCTTCGACAAGAAGCAAAGTACAATGCCTTAAGCCAAATTGATACTTTAGTTAGAGAGCGCTCCCTTTCCCAGATTATTTACACTGATGGACCCTTGCATCAATCCTATAGAGCAGCTGGAAGTGCAGTTGTTGTGACAGGAAGAGATGGTTCCATCTCCCGTGAGTGTGGAGCGCGTCTAAGTAACTTGGCCTCCAATCTTCAAACAGAATTGGTTGCCAATATCCTTGCACTCGAGCGCGTATATGAATCCAAAGTTAACACGTTAATTGTAAGTGACTCCTTGTCATCCTTGACTGCCTTCAGCTCCCTAAGGCATAACTGTGACGTGCTTATCTCTGAAGCTAGACACAGATATAATGAAATAATCAATGATGGAGTCAGTGTTTGTCCTCCTGTGGATTCCTTCCCATATTGGTCTCCGAATGCATGATAGAACTGATGAGTTGGCCAAGACTTTTGCTCGTAAAGAGGGAATTGATTACCAACTTGGACTGCCTTTGAGCAGCCTGAGGGCAGCAATATCCCAGGAACATCAACTAAATTTTGGAGACTTGAGGCAAAGTGAAATTCACACCAGTTACTTACTCCATCATCATTCTATTATGCAGGAAGAACCGCACGTCTATGGGTCATCCAATAATGTTAACAGACTTCTAGATGTTACCACTGCTAGGCTTAGGCTCGGCTACAAGTACCTCTGGGAATTTGTAACATCTGCTGATGTACATTTGACTAAATGTAAACTCTGTCAGCAGAACTATTCGCATACTTTGCGTCATTATATAATGGAATGTGAAAAAATCGTGGAATTTAGAGATGACACCATCAATAGTATCCAAGAAATGTGTAAGTACTTCATTCATAATGACGTGCTGCCCGAAATCTTAGCGAGGTATCCAAAATTTGCTTACTGTAGGTAATGCATGCATATGATTGTAAAGCTGCCGCCCAGTTGGGTGGGTGTGCAGCAAGACTAGTAACTGTGTGACTCACCATAGATGTAAAGTGCCTTGTATAGTGACTGTTGTGAGCCTCTTGTTGAATCACTTGTGACACAAAAGATTATTGATGTGTGGTGATTAAATATGTATATGTATGTGTATGTATATATGTATACGTATATATATATATATATATATATATATATATATATATATATATATATATATATATATATATATATGTATGTATATATGTAAATGTATGTATGAGAATGTGTACATGTATATATAACATTAATAATTTTGTAACTAGCGTCAAAAATGTTTATTTGCTTAGCTAAACGAACTAGAGGGTTCAATTCCTGAACTGATTATGTGCCTCTGTAATCCATTACACCACCGCCCAAGGGATGGGTATAGGGTGCATAATAAAGAAAGAAATTGAATAATGATTGTGTATAACTCAATTACAATAAATCGTTACTTTTATAATTAGTAACTGAAAGTTGCATTATTTGCATTTATACTAATGACAATTCTTGTTAATATGTCTTGGCTTTGGGGGTTCCGGCGGAGCACCCCCCCAATCCCGCAAGGGCCAGCAGGGCAGAACCCCCACCCCTGAAGGGCGAGCGGCTGCTGGCCGCTATAACTAGGAATATGACTGCTCGCTGCTGTATCCGTAATCGTGCCCGTATGCCCGGAGAGGCCGTTAAAAAACAGTCAGGTTCCCCTGACTGAACAAGGTACCAATCTGGGTCTACTAGGCAGATGCTGCAAACTGAGACAGCTTCCTTGGTGGGGCCGACAGAGCACCATCAAGACGAGCCATGTGCGTAGAGAGGCGAGAAAGCTCACTAAACAGTGATCTTGGGAGGAGCACATACTGCAGGGTTTGTACACCCAGGCAGGGAGTGCTGTGCACCATGGCAAATGACTGGTCGATCCCGTGTATATCTTTGTCGCTGGAGTCCGCCCTCACAGAGACCAGTCCTGGAAGGCTGGCCCCAGGGCGGGTGTGGGAAAGTGAACGCTGTTTACACCGAGGCCGACTCCCCAGGGTCGACCCTGTGTCGGTCGTTGTCGCTGTGACGCGTCTTGGAGGAGAGGTAGCAACTTAGAAGCGTGTAGGTCGCCTCCCCAGGGTCCATCTCACGGTGGGCATGAGTTCAGTGGTCCGCCTTTCGGTCCCCATCCCGAGGTCCTCGATCGTCAATAGTTTTCCTCGTGCGCGTTCTGTAGTGGTTCTGGAAGTATTAAGGCAGTAAGGGTGGGGCAGAAGCGGGCATGCAGTGGTAACGTGACAGGCAAAAGCACAGTTGAGGGGGACCTACACCATAAGTGTACTGCTGGTAAACTAGGCTGAAAGAGTGGGGTTATCTGGATTTAACACCTGAGGAGAAAAAGGCATTAATGGGTAGAATTGAATGATGTTCCAAGCATAACGCTGGCACCGAGGCTGAGTTGCTTAAGCAGGACGAAGGGGGACGGATAAGGATAACCCCTCAGGAGAGTGGGGAGTAACTGGGAAGCCTATTAATGGTACCGCCAGAAACAATAAGGGCTAACCCGGGAACAATCAGACGCCTCCTCTGTGGGAACAAGGAGAATTAGTGAACAACAGCATCAAGGAGGTAAGTAAGCTCCAGAAACAGCGATTACTCATAATAAGTCAAATTATAAGTCAATGTTAAATACCCAGAGCAGACAGTGGAGCGTATGTGGCCCCAATAATGACTGCAATAGGTTGCAGCGATGTCCATGTCGCATTGCAGCAGATAAATACTAAATAACGCCAACAGGCCAAGGTAAGAAGCTGGTAAGTGGGCGTTGAACTGCGAAACCATTTACGCACAAATAAGACTAATTATACCTTTAAAGAAATAATATTATTAAGGATGGAGAGAAAATGCGATCTTTTTCTTCTTCTCCCAGAAAATCTTCGGCTGGTACACGCCATCCGGAAGCTCGGCAGCTGGAACATTGCAGCTGTGGCAACTTTAGCTGGACACCGCCCGAACGACTGCTGGATCTTCACCAGCCGGAACATCAGCATCTGGAACATCCTCGGCTGGAATACCACCAGCTGGAGTTTCAGCTGCTGGATCATCGGCCGGAACATCAGCAGCTAGAACATCCGCCGCTAGAACATCCTCACCAGGAATACCTCCAGCTGGAACATCAGCTGCTGGATCATCGGCTGGAACCTCGTCGGGCGGAACGTCAGCAGCTGGACCTTGTTGGATGTAACACCACCAGCTGGGTCATCAGCTGCTGGATCATCAGCAGGGACCACATCAGCCGGGACATCAGCAACTGGAACGTCGGCGGCTGGAGCAACTTCAGCCGAATACCGCCAGCTTGAACATCAGCTGCTGGATCATTGACTGGAACCTCATCAGCCGAAACATCGGGAGCTGGAACATCGTCTGCTGTAACACCGCCAGCTGGGACATCAGCTGTTGGATCGTTGGCTGGAACCCAATCAGCCGGAACGTCAGCAGCTGGAACCTCATCAACCGGAACTTCAGCAGCTGGGACATCTTCGGCTGGAACACCACCAGCTGGGCCATCAGCTGCTGGATCATAGATGGGGACCACATCAGCCGGAACATCAGCAGCTGGTACATCTGCTGCTGGAGCAGGCCCAGCCCGGGCAGAACTGCAGAGGCCCAGCCAGGAGCGGGACTGAAGTGGCCCAGCCAAGAGCATAAAACTGAAGAGGTCCACCCAGGGCGTAAACTGGAGAGGCCACAGCCAGGGCTTAACTGAAGCGGCTCAGCCAGGAGCCTAATACTGAAGAAGTGTGACCATATAATCCTGCCAGAGGCCAATGACTGAAGAAGTTTCAACCCAACCAGGAGCATATAGCTGGAGAGGCCCCAGCCAGCACGTATAACGGAAGGGGGGAGCCCAGCCTGGGCATAGGAGAATGAAGCGGCCCCGGCCTGGGCCAGAGACTGAAGTGGCCTACCCGGGACATAAAACTGAAGTGGCCCACCCTGAGACATAATAACTGAAATGGCCTGCTCTGGGACCTATAACTGAAGTGACCCACCCCGGGACATAATAACTGAAATGACCCACCCTGGACAGAATAAACTGAAGTGGTCCACCCTGAGACGGAATAATTGAAGTCGTCCCCTCTGAGTCATGATAAACTGAAGGATAAGCTGAAGTGGCTCCTGCTGGACATAATAAACTGAAGTGGCCCACCCTGGACATAGAGAAGCTGAACTGGCTCACCTTGGGCATGGACGCTAGAGTGGCTCGCCCTGTCCCAAATAAAATGAAGTGGCCCACTCTGGGACATAATAAACTGACGTGGCCAACCCTGGGGAAGTTGGCCCAGCTGAGGCATAATAACTGAAATGGCTCACGCTGGACATAGAGAAACTGAAGGGGCATCCTGGGACATAGTAAGTTAAAAGTTGCTCACTCTGGGACATAAAGAACTGCAGTGGCCCACGCTGGGACTGAATAACTGCAGTAGTGCACGCTGGGCATGGAGGGCCCACGCAGTTACAGTAACTGTAGAGGGTTTGCCCATTACAGGAAAACTGAAGAGGAAGGGCCCATGTGGGGAAATTCCAGGCAGCTAATCTCTCTTTTTCAAATTGACTTTAATAAAATAAAGTTATGTCTTATTTATTTTCCTTAGTAAGTAAGAATTAATTAAGTGGACTGTATATACTGGTAAACTGCCTGAAATCTTCTTACACACTATTGGGAGGGACAATTGGTAGCCTAAATCACTTTGTTATGGCTCCTTCTTAAACTACCAATTGTTTACCTTTAAATCTATTATTTCAGTTATTTCAATATACAGTGTACCACATATGGTGGTCTAATCTACTTAATTATAAGTAATTATGACTACTACTACTACTATACTAAAATGTCTTAGCTGAGCCTGTTGTGGGGGGCCTGCTAAGGCGTGTAGGTGAAGCCTCAAGATGGGTGTGGCTTTGCCTCTTTGTGCCACGTAATGGCGGCTGGTGGGAAGGACAAGGCTTGGCAAACAAGTAGTTAATTATGTGTATGAACCAACTGTCTGCACAGATTCTTGATGCTCCTCTCACAATTTACCTGTATGGGATGCAAGGAATTAATCAAAGTTCCCTAAACATATCAATTACAGGTATGACATGAACTGTGAGGGTTGTAATGGGGTTCACGTACTGTGTATTTGGGGATCTTCCACGACTTAACCATCTACTATTTATATTAAACAGTGCACTAGAATAATAAACAATACTTGGTAGACGGATACAGTCATTGTTGTGATGTTGTTAAGCTGTGTTGCTGGTGTTGACACGTAAATAGGGTGTCTATCTGTTACACCAGTTAACCAAGACAGCGTGGTAGGCTGATCCCTGGTTGTTGTTATTGTGTATGTGGACGCCTTCCTCCCCACTCGGGGCAACGCCCTTATGCTCTGGTTCCTCACTCAAAGTAATTTTACATTAACAAGGGAACCTAGCTACTATACTGTGTAAATAATTATATTCAGTCTTATTGATTACTTTTTTGTTAACTTTAGAGACTAAACTAGTCTATTAACAATGTTTCATAATGTAAATATACGATGAATTCGATGACGTCACGGAGTCTCCCATTTTCCATCCTGAAGGGAGTACAGACTAGGGGAGACTGTGTTATTTGTGTGTGTGGTTGTGTGTGTGTCGGTTTCCCGACATAATTCCCAGGGGGCAGAACACGGGTCGAAGTCCCGGTAAGGACTGCGATCACTTTATTCTTCTCCCTCAGAATTATAGTGCTGATTTAATTTGAGTTTACATTGTTGTGCAGCAGTCCGTTGGGGACGTATGTCCCGTACTGGCGTATCGGGTGCTGGAAGTCGTTGTACGTCTTCTTTCCTGGCCAGTTCTAAATGTACTAATTTCTCTAAAGTTTTGAGAGTAGTGTTGCCTTTGCATTTTACTTTCACTATTCTCAAGATGCCCTGGCTGTCTGGATGAACAGAGACTATTTCTCCCATAGGCCACTCCGAGCATGGTCCGTCACTATCCACCAGAACTATGTCACCAGGGTTCAAGTTAATTCTGTTATAGGGATTGTTTGCCCCGTAATGATACTCCCTCAGAGCTGTTAGGTATTCACGAGTCCATACGTCATTCCACCGACTTATCACCCCTGAAAGATGTTTGAAACGTTGAACCAAATCACTCTCTTTGACATATGAAGGATCCTCTGGTTCCTCATCCGTAAGGGACACAAGTGTTTTGAGAGGTCTCCCATACATCAAATGAGCTGGACTTAATGGTTCACGCTGCAAAGCATCATCAGAGAGGTAGGTAAGTGGTCGGTTGTTAACTCGTGCTTCTATTTCTATGATTACTGTTTGAAGCTCCTGAAGGTCAATCTTTTGGCGGTGTAGGGTTTTCCTTAAAGACCGTTTCACCGTACCAACCATCCGTTCATAGAAGCCTCTATGCCATGGTGCTCTGGGAGGTATGAATTTCCAATAGCACTGCCGTTGAGTTAGGGCTGTGCGTACCTTTGGGTGTGTCCAGATTTTCCTCAGGCATGCTTCTCCTGCCACCAAGTTGGACCCATTGTCTGAAATCATTAACTTGGGACAAGATCTACGTGAAGCAAACCTGCGGAAAGCCTGTAAGAATGCTTCGGCACTCATATTGGGAGTCACTTCTAGATGGACTGCCCTTGTTGTGGCACAAGTAAAAAGACAGATATAGGCCTTTACTGGTTTCTTGTCTTTAGTGCCTGTCAGTGTCAGTGCTCCTGTGAAATCTACTCCTGTTGTCTCAAAAGGATGAATATGTACGACTCGTTCCTTCGGAAGTGGAGGAGGGCCAGGATATGGACACACTCTGGCATCGTATCTCCGGCATACAACACTGGATTTGATTATGGATTTTACTGTCTGTCTACCTTGGGGTAGCCAGTACTGTTGTCTTAATTCTGTGAGAGTATCTAATACCCCACCATGCAGAGTGCAGTATTTGTGTATATGTAACACAATTAGTTTGCTTACTATGTGGTGACGAGGGAGCAATATTGGATTTTTTGCTTCCAGATCTATGTCAGCATGTTGTAAGCGTCCTCCGCATCTTATCAAGTTATAATTGTCAGTGTCTAACCAGAGACCCAGATCATGTTGTAGCTTCTTAGGAACATTGTCAATTTCTGTCCCGAATGTGTCGGTCTGAGCTCTTTTAACCCAGTACCTTAAGGCACTAGGGAATTTATGCTTGATTCCTATTTTCTTTAGGAAATCAAACACTACTTGGGTGACACCTACAAGTTTGTTCAGTTCAGAGTACCGAGCAGGATCAATTACCAAAGTCCGAGGTAGTTCCGGGTTCTCAGTGACATTGGTCACAATGACTTGTGGCTTTTGTTCAGGCCACTGGTCGCTGATTAGCCACTGAGGTCCATTGAACCACATCTCTGCCTTTGATAATTGCCGTAAAGTCAGGCCTCGGGAGAGATAGTCAGCTGGATTCTCTTTAGTAGGTACATATCATAGTTTATACCCTGCTGACAACTCCCGTATTTCCTTAACGCGGTTTCTCACGTAAGGATTCTTACTGTTATTGTTTTTAACCCACTGTAGCACTGCCTCATTATCTGACCATACTACTGTTTCTTTAAAGTGGATGTGGCTTAAGGCCTTGATCAGATAATGAGCCAATCTTATACCTAGCAGTAAGGCTGTTAATTCCAGTTGTGGCAGTGATCTTTTCTTTAAAGGTGCCACTCTGGCCTTTGATGTGAGCAAACTGGCTTGCCCATTTGAGACCAGGTAAGCTACTGTACCATAAGCCTTTCCTGAGGCATCACAAAATACATGCAGCTTAATTGGTTCCTTTTCATTTACTGTTGTGTTCCTAGGGAACTTGACAGACTCTAGGATACTTAAATCTTTCACTAACCTTTGCCATTTTTCCTGTAGGGCAGGTGTTAGAAGATCATCCCAGCCTATCTTTTGTTGCTAACATTCCTGTATTATCATCTTCCCATTAATTAGTATTGGACTTAATAAGCCTAATGGGTCGAAGGGTTTGCTGACTTGTGATAGCAATTTTCTCATTGTTAAGTTAGTGGTATCTGTCTCCACTGACTTGATTGTCAACTGATCGGTTGTCGTGTTCCATTGGACACCTAGTACTTTTGTCATCTCGGGTACTTGGTAGTCGGGAAATTCAGTTGTAATCAGTTGTTTTAATTTGTCATTGTTAGAGACCCAAGACTGGAGAGGCATATTGGCTCCCATTAATTCTCGATTGGCCTCATGGTATATGTCCAACAGCTTACTTTCACAGTTGGCTGTTCCTTGAAAATTATCCACATACAGGTTTTCGCTAATTTCTGTCTTGTTTGGGCTATTGGACTTCTTCAAGTGTGTATCCAAGGTAGCTTGAAGCAGAAATGGTGAGCTCGTGGCTCCAAACAAAACAGACGCAAACCGATAAGTGATTATTTCACTGTTTGGATCATTAGGATCCTTAATCAATAGGAACTTTGTGTAGTTCCGGTCTTCTTCTTGAAGACCTACCCTAAGGAATGCCTTACTAATGTCGGCCGTATATGCATAAGTCCCTATACGAAACTTTAACAGCACGTCATAAAGCCTTTGTGTTAAGCTTGGGCCTGTTTGAAGGCAATCATTTAACGAAACACTATTCTGCCCCATCTTAGCACTGCAATTAAATACTATCCGTAGT